TACGACGTGTAAAAACATAACCCCCGCTTTGACTATCAAAAAGAAGTGTATTGTAGAGTTTGCATCAATGCAGACTCGATGCGCTGTGCGCTGTAACTCCATGTGGCTTTAAGCGCATCATTCTCCACTCGGGATGCGCATAAGCGGTTTGTGCCACACTGTACTGAGCCTTTCATATCATAATGCAGTGACGCAATGACAGATTATTAATTGCCTTTCTTGTTCTGTTCCATCTATTATATGTTGATAATAGATAGGACAGAGCACTAAAAACCTCAAACAAAGCACTAAAAACTTAAGCTGTTTGCTGTGTAGTCTGAGAATGAGCTGTTTGATTTGCACCCTCTTCCTCTTCACTGTCCTCCATAAAAACCAGCTATCCAGGTCCATGTTGTTCTAGAAAGTTTGTATGTTGCTGCCTCAATTAACATCTCTGCTATACATTTAAAACATGGCTATATCTAAAATAATTTATCTTTTTGATTTTTGTTATCTTGTTTTTCATGAATATTTTACAACAATACAAAGAGCAATGTGTATTTTCCATTAATATAGTTTGTAATGGCTTTTGTTGTCATAGATTATAATCATATATTTTTTGGATTAGTTATTTATCTTTATAATGAAGTTGTCTGTATTAAGTAGATTGTGTTTAACACACACAAGAGTGATTTTATTAGTTCAACACATAGTTATAGAAATTCTACTTCATCTAAAAAAACCCTGCACTTTATACACACACACACACACGCACACACACACACACACACACACACACGCACACACGCACACACACACACACACACACACACACACACACACACACACACACACACACACACACACACACACACAAATACATGTAAATAAATACAAAAAAAAAAACATCAAATGTGTTTTTAGTCAGAGTATTATTTTATACAGAAACAAATATTTGTAATTCAGATAAGAATGAAGTTAGTGTTTTAAAATCTTAAGGAAAACAAATATATTGAAATATAGCACATGCATTTTTAATTAATTCAACTTCAATTACAAATACAATCTTACTTTTATTTAAAGCAAACTATACATTTAAAAGATGGGGGTTATATGCCTATTTTGTCATTTAAAAATATTGTTATGCAAAATTGTTATGCAAAAAGACAAGGACTTAGAGACAAGGACTTGTAGGAAAAATCGCAGCCAGCCACACACACACACATAAACACAGACAACAGCCCTCCCCTCCCCACACAGACACACACCCACACACACACACACACACACACAGAGAGAGAGAGAGAGAGAGAGAGAGAGAGAGAGAGAGAGAGAATCGCAGGGGAATTAAATCCATTCAAACTACAATATCTGACTTTCTGTTGCTCAGAGCGAATGACTTTAAATTGGAAAGTTGATCGGCTTGACGAGAACAATATACGTGGTAAGTTTTGTAAGTGTAGGTAAAATGAGCAAAGTTATAACACACTTTATGTGTCCTTTTTTAGTCATAAAATTCATTTCCTCGCCACGGCCAGACCGTTCGAGATATCAAAAATCCGTCCGGAATTGAGCATCCTCAATGTCTTGACTTCATGCACACCGAGTTTGGTTGTGATTGGTAAACACATGCGTTGTAATTTGATGTATTTCTCCTAGGACAATTATTCAAACAACCCATAATTCATAATTCATAAATAACTTCCATTTGAACTGTCATAAAACTTAGAGCACGAAAGTTGTTTGGCCTGATGTGATCTATAATTGTACCGAGTTTCATATTAATTCATGCAAGTGTGTTTGATTTATGGACAAATGTTCGAATCCCAGTCCAGGGGGCGCTGTCGAGCGGCCCTGCCACGCCCGGTTACCAGCTTCAGCCCGGCCCTGATTGCCATGGGTTCTGACCCGTGTGCAAAGTTTCAAGAGTTTTCGAGGATGTTAAGGCCCCCGAAAATGCCAGAGAAGTCGCACACAGCAAATAAAGGGTTAAAATTAACCTGACAGGCGCCCCTCCTCTCACTCACACAGAGGGACACTGAGAGACTGGCAAAATTCTGAGATTTTCTCTACATTCAAACAAACATATCTGACTTTCTGTGGGTCCTAGCTAATGAGTGTCAATTAGAAAGTTGTCCGGCTCGAGGAGTACAATATACATACCGATTTTTGTAACTGTAGATAAAACTAACAACCCCACTTTTGTCAAAAGGTGGCGCTACTGAGCCCTCACCACGCCCGTTTCTGAAACTTTGCACGTGTCTACTGGCTAATAAATGTGATGTGTCTGTCGAGTTTCATGCATTTTGAAGCATGCTAAGGGTCTCAAAAGTATCCTAAAAGCATCCTAAAAGAAGGGTAAAGTTTGATGCGTCGCCACGGCAACAGTTTCAAAGATATCAAGAATCCATTCACAGGTCTACATCTGCCGTATGTTTACATTATACATATGAAGTTTGAAGCAAATCGGGTAAAAATGAAAGGGTGATATCAAAGCATTTTGAAAGTGACACACTTCCTGCTGCCAGTTGGTGGCGCTATAACTTTGACTCACAATAGTCACATCCATGTGATCGTCCTCTTACAGCGAACACACTGCTGAAGTTTCATCAAGATCGGTTGATGTGTGCTGAAGTTATGATACACTTCCTGTTTCACGTTTCTCGCCATTATTTTGTTTCCTCGCCACGGCCAAACCGTTCGAGATATCAAAAATCCCCTCGCAAACTTTCATCCTCAATGTCTTGACTTCACGCTGACCGAGTTTCGTCGAATTTGGATCAAAGCTCTAGGAGGAGTATTAAAAATTCCATTGCGAGTGTTTTACGAACAACCCTAAATAGCCGACTTCCTGTTGGGCTGGGGTAAAAAGTAAAAGCACGAGATATAGATGAAACGATGAGATCAACATGTGTACCGAGTTTCATATTATTACATGCAAGCGTGTTTGATTTATGGACCAAGTGTTCGGACCCCGTTCCAGGGGGCGCTGTCTAGCCCCCCTGCCACGCCCGGGTACCATCTTCAGCCCGGCCCTGATGGCCGCGGGTTCTGACCCGTGTGCAAAGTTTCAAGAGTTTTTGAGCATGTTAAGGGCCCCAAAAGTGCCCGAATAGTCGTATAAATAATAATAATAATAATAATCGTTAGGAAAACAATAGGGCCTTCGCCCTTTCAGGGCTTGGGCCCTAATAATAATAATAATCCTAAGGAAAACAATAGGGCCTTCGCCCTTTCAGGGCTTGGGCCCTAATAATATAAGATGACAAAAAAGTAAATAAGAGATGGATTGCACGTTATTATACGCGCTCCAATACGGGCAAAAAGAACGAATAAAATATATGATCAGATGATAAATGTGTAAATAAGATCTGTATTGTACTGTATGTGTGCTCTCGTGTAGGCCTACCATTAGGAGTGTCTTATAGGTGTAAACAGTGAGAAATCTTGTGGCTAGGCAGGTGAAAAGCGTTTGGTTAATGGTGAATATTGACCTATTGTGCGTACCGTTCTGTCGGGGAATATGCGCTGCATTTACTGTAAATATTGTGTAAGTTCGAGTGGCAGGCGCTATATAATGCAGTGCATATAAGGCACATATATCCGTGGCCGGTCGAGTAGCAGATCCCCCTGCCAGGCAAAGATTTTATCCCCTCTAAAAAAGCTGCTGGCGAGTGGCGAACATGACTTTTTTGTCAGAAAGATGTCGTTGGTGTAGACACTTGTCAATCAAACATGTCTGACCAACAGAGAAGCACCCGCCCACTGCGGAACGTTTGTGTCAAAATGATTCAATCAAAAAAAAGTTTGAACTTCAAAACTTTTTGCACTTCAAAAAAAAAAAAAGGATTCAATCAAAACAATTTGAAATTCTAATTTTTTTTCACTTCAAATAAAAAACAAAAACAACGAAAACACACATTCTCTTCAATACTTTTTTTTATACACGAGGTAAATAAATTTTTTTTTGCTTTTGAAAAGTTTTTTCTTTGATTGAAAATATTTTTTTTTTGATTGAAACAACTTTTTTGGAATTGAATGATTAAGACACAAATGTCCTACCCATGTATGGCCCAAACACAAAAAAGATTACTTCAATCAAAGAGTACATTTTCAATTAAAACAAAAGGTGTTCAAATGCAATTTTTGGAGTCTCAAATATTTTATTTGCATTCAAAAATGATTTTCTATATTTGAAAATGTTTATCTTTTCATTGAAGTGACTTTTGTATTGATTCTGTTGTTTGTTTGTTTGAAGCAACTTCTTTTTTGATTGAATGATAAAGACACAAATGTCCTACCCATTATATGGTCCAATCAAAAAACAATGTTACTTTAATTAAAAAGGTTGCTTTAAACAAAAAAAACCGGACTTCTATCAAAGAAAACATTTTCAATCAAAGAAAAGCAGTGTTCAAATGTATTTTTTTGAGTCTCAAATATATTTTTGGATTCAAATACTTTTTTTCTTTGATTGAAAAGTTTTTTTTTCATTGAAGTGAAGGTTTTTTTAATTGAAGCAACATTTTTTTTGATTGAATAATAAAGACACAAATCTACCTTCATAGGTAGTTAACCCCAAAATGAAAATTCTGTCATCATTTGCTCACCCTCAAGTTATTTCAAACCTGTATGAATTTTTATAGTAGTTATATTTTGAAGGATATATGGGTAACCAAACAGTTGATGGACCCCATTGAGATATACTATGCAAGTCAATGGGGTCCATACACGGTTTGGTTACCCATACCCATACCCATATACTTACCTTCAGTTTGTCACAGTACAGTCCACTTTACTGTATGTCTGTAAACACTCATGTTTTACCTGGTTTGGGCCTTAAAATAAATTCAAATATTTTATCAAACTCATCTGATATTTTTTTTTCAAATCAGTAAATTAAAAATTATTGCACACTGCTATGAAACAGAGAAATTCTTGCAATACTGCAAACACAAACAGTTTTATACATAATAGATTGAGGCGTTGTGTTGTTGAGGTTTAGCTCAGACAGATTATTGATCCAGAAATTCAGTTTTTATTTTCATAGACTAAATGTAAAGAACATAACAGGATTTGAGAATAAATCCCATGAGCACAAAAATGTTCCACTGCAAGCGATTATTTACAACAATGAAAAACATTCCCTTTTCTCATCAAAAGGGCCATCAAACACCAGTGCAACAGAGTCCGATTTCAGATCACGTCTCAGAGAAACCAATCAGGCCAATCATTTATATCATTTAAAACGTCTGATTTTATAATGGGCAATTTTCTGAAATAAAGCAGCCTGATGCTTAAAATAGGCACTGTGAGATATAAACAGATATGAACATAAACAAATATACCCACAGCATAACACAATAAGCTTTCCACTTTACGCCATGCATATATACCACATGGCTAAATAAATAACATACTGATTGTTCAAACAATAAATCATAACTTGTGTTTTACTGAAATGTTTTTTTCCCTTATAATTCATAATTGACATTTATCCCCCTCTCATCTGTACAAATAACAATATGCCACTTAAGAATGGCTGCAATATTAATAACAAGCAGAGGTGGTGTGATATATATTAAATAGCTGATATCTACTCTACAGCGTACACAGAATCATGAGTTTTGCTTGTAAAACAAGAGTATTCCTTTGTCGACCCTCTTCAGCATCGCCTGAATCAGCGATTTCCACAAAATACAAAGTACGTATGGAAGATATATCGATTTGGTTCAAAAAAGTATGCGTACGCTACTGTATGCCAAGTTAAGCAAAAACATTTACGATAAAAAAAGGATTGAATGTGAGCAGTTGAATGTCAACACACGTGAGCATCAAATACGCAAAGTTGATGATTACATCAGTTTAAAACTTTTAAGTATGAAAGAAACAAAGTGCTCTTGTCAGACCAGTAAAAAAATAATAATCTGTACAGCTCATCACCTCCTGTTCAAAAGCTGGGGGCGTTCCTTAGGGAGAGTCTCCTCATGGGTTTGATTCATTGATTCAGCGATTGACTTTCCATCCCGACAGGTTTTTCCTCTTTTTTATATAGTTATTTGTTAAATGGTAAACAGGCCGGCAGTATGACTGTGGCACAGGCCGGCCCGGCTAAAGGTTCAGCCACCTCTCCTTCCATTTCTGTCCATGAGCCTTTCTCTGGGCTGTAACAAATGGTGGATGACTTGTACGCCCCCTGCAAGAGATGTTCAACAAGTTATTCTCACAAGATTTCATACTTCAGAATGCTTTTTATGCATTTCACAGTCTTTACCCCTTAATACATTTCTGTCCAAATATCTAGACACAGACCTTTCTGACAATATGTGTTTTGTGTGGATTAGGAAAGGTTTTGATCATAAATGATTAAATATAATAATGCATAAAAGGGGAGGAGCCTGACAAAATAATTTAGAGTACCGTTTCTATGGTAACGCAACGTTCAATTATAAAACGGTTTTCACAGGATGAATTCTGAGTTTGTAAGCTTTCAAATGATACCTCATTTATGATAACTAAACTATGTGATGTAACAAAAAAGATATTATATTTTAGAGGATAATATATATTATAATTTTTAGAGGATAATATTATATTATCATTTTTTTGTGAAAAATACTAGATTATATGTTTTATAATGAACTTTTAGGATAAAAACAGAAGTTTCAATGATTAAAAGGGGGTGCATCAAATTTTTGTGACAAAGATCAGACTTTGTCAGATTTTTTGAGGTGCACTCTTGTCATAAATTCATCAGTTACTCTTCCTACATAAATTGTAACACAAAACAGGGGTAGAATATCTATTTAGAAGTTCTATTTGTACTATTTGTAAGTTTCAGTTCTGAAACTTACAGGATATTCTTATAGTATGATTTTTTTGATTTAAGGAAATTTTGATTTCTCAATTCATCTCCCGTTTAAAGACATCAGTGTTTATATCCAAATTAGAGCCCGACCGATAAAGGATTTCCAAGGCCGATACCGATACAAATATTTGTTGGTTTTAAAATCCTTTATTCCGATATATCGGCCGATATTTTTTATTTTTTTTATTTCAGAAACACGCAACAAAACATTAACAGATTTCCATAACATTAGTTATTTGTAGTTATTTATGAGTTTTAACTCAAATAATGTGATAATGCATTTTAAAAAGAAACTTGTTTCTTTTATTGTCACAACAGAACAGACTGATGATAGTGGCATTAGCTAGTTTTGTGGTTAGTCTATGATGAGCTATAATTTAGCAATGGATAACGTTATACTGCAAATTGTAAAACATACATTTTCAATATAACAGGCCAAGGAGAGATGATATGTCTCATTGATATAACGCTATTAAAGAAAAAGGACAGTCAGTCAAAAACACGGTAACAACGTAACGTAACCATTAAAAACTGGACATGATAGTCACAAATTTTGTCATGCTTATTTGAGTTAAGAGAACTGATGGGGATGTTCTTTTAATTGTTATTCAAGCAATGTAAGTATCGTGACCAACTCAACGAGTGTTGCCAACAGGGATGGTGTAGAGTGCCCTCTGGTGGACAAACTATAGAATTCCAACACTTATGACATGGTTCAAGCGTGTTTCATCCGTTTTTATTTTATTTTTGAAATATTCATTTTTCGGCCATTATAACTGCCGATACCGATAGTTTGGAAAATGCGTAATATCGGCCGATAATATCGGCCTGCCGATATATCAGTCTGGCTCTAATCCAAATCATAAACTTTTATCTCATTACTTGTGTGATAATTTAAATTATTGTAATACAGAAATAACAATAACAAAGCTGTTTCATACCTAATATGATAAGTGTTTTTTCTGGATGGAGAATGATCCGATATGATTTTCTCAAAGGTTTAATAGACACAGGTGAATCATGATCGTTTAGGAATTAGATTGCATGTGTGTCTGAATTGAGATCACAATCTTTTAACGATTAATCGTACAGCTCGAATTTGAATAATAAACGTACTGTATTTGTACTGAGTGTTAAAATTAATCAACGATTTTAGGTGAACGTGAAGTATGTCATTTCTTTACTATCAATATCAGAATGGCAAAAATAGTGGTTGTTTTCAAACAGGTTCCCTGACTGAACCCCTCTGCCATTGGTCGGTCAGACAGATAGCCCCACCCCCAACCTCACACCATAGGTTGAACAAGTTTTGCTATAGCAGCTTATTCAGGGGAATCAACCTACAATCTATATCTTCAATATCTATATCCAGCATTTAAGTGTTTACCATGCTCCAACTGTAGCCCCCCACCAAGTAAATACTGTCATCAAGAACAGCACATCCAGGCCCGCTGCGTCCCTCTAAGATGGGCGTTTGCAGGATATTCCACTGATCTGCTTTAGGATCATAGCATTCAACCAGCATCACATCCAGATGAGAGAATCCTACACACAGAAGAAAACAGTCAAAGATCTTACTTTGCAGAGGCGTCTAAGTGTTGCAAGCTTGCAATCTAATCATTGAATGAAACTATATCGATCACTGTTGTGTACACAGTCAGTGAGGTTTGGTTTACGGCTATATAAATTACCCTTTAAGTGGTTGCCCCCAATAGCGTAGAGGCGGTCGTTCATGCCTGCGAGAGCGTGTATGGCTCGCTTAGTGTTCATGTCCTGTTTCCGAGCCCACACGTCCATCACGGGGTCGTAGCAGTACAGCCAAGACACGTATTCGCCGTTGTGAACCCCACCTGAAGAATAGCATACACAATACCAATTTCAACGTAAGCACAAGTGTAAAGTATTCAAAAAATTAAGTCAACATGGAATCAAAATGGACCGTATTTACTTTCTAAATCAACATTCCTGGTCTTTTTTTTTTAATCCAACGAGACATTGCATTGAATATATAAACTTCAGTTCATGCATTCTCTGGGAATCAAAGCCATGAGCTTCGTGTTGCAAACATAATGCTATTTAGGCTATAGGGATGATTCACGTTATTCGAAAGATTTTCTGAAAGTCTATTCTGAAAAAAACTTTCCTTTTTGGCTAATGTACTGTACTTTTAAGTACTTTTCGCTCAATCATGTATCATGTAGAGAGACATTGAAACACTTTGAACTACAGGAGTAGTTCACTTTTAAAAAAACTTTTGCTGATAATTTACTCACCCCCATGTCATCCAAGATGTCCATGTCTTTCTTTCTTCAGTCGAAAAGAAATTAAGGTTTTTGATGAAAACATTTCAGGATTTTCTCCATATAATGGACTTCAATGGGAACCAAACAGTTCAAGGTCCAAAAGACAGTTTCAGTGCAAATTGTTCAAAGGGCTTTAAATGATTCCAGACGATGAACAAATAAACAAATCTTTTTCCGAGTCAATTCTTTCATTTCGTTCGTTGAATGAACCAAATGACACGAAAAAAGATTCGTTCATTTTGATAAACGAGTTCGAACAGGAGAGTCACGAACGCTCATCACAGAACAGAGCAAGGCGAGCGTTTGAGCTTATAAAACTTAAACTTTATTTTTTTTTTTAATGAGCGATCGTTTCACTTGATAAGACCCTTATTCATCGTCTGGTGTCGTTTAAAGCCCTTTGAACAGTTTGTAGTTTGCACTGATACTGTCTTTTGGACCTTGAACCGTTTGGTTCCCATTGAGGTTCATTATATGGAGAAAAATGCTGGAATGTTTTCATCAAAAACCTTAATTTCTTTTCGACTGAAGAAAGAATGACATGGACATTTTGGATGACATGGGGGTGAGTAACTACCCCTTTAACTAGTTGCTTATTAGCATGCCTATTATTAGGATATTGGCTGTTTATTAGTACTTATAAAGCACACATTATTTCCTTATTCTGCATGACCATATTCTACATACCTAATACCTAAACTTAACAAATACCTTACTAACTATTAATGAGCAGTAATTAGGAGTTTGTTGAGGCAAAAGTCATAGTTAATGGTGAGAATCGGAACCTGAACTAAAGTGTGACCAGAGACACTTTTCACAATCCCAATGGATAAATTACAGAGTCCTGTCCAAAAATCTAATTTCATGTCGAATTTAAAATGCATTTAAAATAAAAGTATCTGTTCTAGTCTTCAAAATAACATTGAACTGTGCTCTTAATAGTACAGCAAGTCACTTCCAGAGCTCATCCCTGTAACGACACCTGTTAGTAACGTCTCAGAAACTTTGATTCATTCACTGTTTGGATGAGGTGTATCGTCAAACCTGAGATGTATATTTTCCCATTGTGCACGGCGCCTGCGTGTGCAGCCAGCGGCTGTGGAAGAGACGAAACGTAATTCCATTCGTTTGTCTCAAGGTTATAGGCTTCAACGCTAGACAGATAACCTGTCTCGTTCCTTCCCCAACAACATACAAGTGCTTATCCAGGCAGCAAGCGAAGAAACTCGCTCTCCTGAAACAAAGACAAGATGAAAAGATCGTCTCTTAAAATCAGTCAACGTAGAGACTGTTTACAGCAAATATCCCAGTCGCAACCAAGAGTGAAAAATTCATCACAAAGGCTTAAGAAATAATTATAGCCATGTTATGAAGAGCTCTTATTATTTTATGAATAATAAGTCATCTTCAGAAGGCATCATACCTCTCCTGCATGGGCGGTAGTTGTATCCAGCTATTGAATCTTGGATCATACCGACTTACAAAGTTAGTGCTGTGTTTGCCTGCAAAGATGAAAAATATTGCTATTATTAATAAATATTGTTTAAAATCAAATATTTCATTGCAATAATACACATTTTATGAATTATAAAATCAACGTCAACAATATCAACCAACCAACAATATTTTTTTACATTCATGTTTTTACCATTAGGGTTCCACTGGTCTTCTCCACCCAGTAAAAGCAGGAAGTTCTCCACCTCAACGACACAGTGATGGGCGCTGTTATACGGCATTACTGCAACACACAGACAAAACACATGAGAAAATAATACATCTGAATAGTGAAAGGTCAAGCCAATGATATTTGTTTACAGTTTACACATAATTTGATATTGTATTAAATATGTAAATAATAAGGTAAAGTCAACCAATGCAGTAAACCCACTAATCCCACAAAGAAATAACACTCAAGAAACATTTAATCACTAAAATAATTCATATAATTCATATAATTATAATAATAGAGTTTAACCATTTACTGCTATATATTATATATATATATATATATATATATATATATATATATATATATATATATATATATAAACACTGTTGTTTTAAAATGCATGGAACTTAATTAGAAACTACTAGTTTTATATAATATTATTTATTATATATGAAGAGTTCAGATGCAAAAGCCTCTAAATGCCATTTGAAATTTTCTTCTGTAATGATGATTTTTATCAAACTTGTACATTTAAGTTCGGTAATTTCACTTAAATAACAATTAATAGGTAATTATCATTGCCATTTAAGTGACATCAATGAACTTAAATATACAAGCTTGATAAAAATGATCATTCTAGAAGAAAATTTCAAACGGCACTTAGAGGCTTTTGCATCTGAACTCTTCATATATTATTATTATTTATTATTATTTACTAATATATATTATGTAACTGTACATTTCTCAATATTCTGAATAAAATGCTGTCACCACCAATCAAATAGTAGCAAATTCCTCATATATTAACAGGTTTGTGGTAGATTTCTGATATGCAGCAGTCTCCATCCTTTGTAATTCTCCAGCTCCTGCAAAAGTGACCCCCAGTTGAAATAGAGAGAAATGGTCTTAGGGTGACAGTCATAATGAACATGATCATGTTCACTCCATAAATCTCCGTCCGGTGCCCGTGCAGCGTAAATCAGTCGTACGCTAAGAGCCACCTGTCTGCCTCCATCATTCATTACCACTGTCACATCTCCGCTGCCTGATGGATCACAGTTGCTGTAAAATTAGACAGCCTTGAATCGCGCTTTTTTCCGATTGGCCTCTCCTACCGCAATCTAACTGGAGTCTGACGCACAGAGGCCTTTCCATTGAGAACGGATTCAGACTGACTCAGTCCCACGAGGGAACCTCCCGACTGTCTCGCTGCACACAAAACCTGATTGACAGAGATCCAAGTGTCAGGGAGAGAATTATTTGGCTTCTCAGGCATCTGGAGCCATGCTAGGCTTTTGTGGCCAGCTGACATTTACTGCTGCAGACGTGACACACACACATGTCCCAACAGACTCAATGATTCAAATGATCCAGAGGTCACAGTCTAGGCTTTGTTATTGATCTGACAGCCTGATCTACACAGGTGCAGATGCATCATATTGCTAAACTGACTGATAAGAAGCCTGCACACAGTGAAGACATATGATATTGACTTTTAGAGGAACAAACCTCCTGAAATTCAGCTTAAAAGGTCTTTGTTTTTCATATATATATATATATATATATATATACACCTCATATGTTTCCATTTTAACCCCAGAGTATATATATATATTTCCTGATTTCCTGTTTATCTGTTTATAAACATCTTAAAGATGTTTGTTTAACTTTTTGATTCATATTTATATGTTCTGTTGGTTGTATTTTATCCCAGCTTTTATGTAGTGTTTAAAAAAAAATGAAACAGGAAGTGCTTCTGGACCAGTGATGTTTACATCTTGCAATATATATATATATATATATATATATATATATATATATATATATATATGGGGTTAAAACAGAAACATCTGAGGTTAAGTTTAAGACAGTGTATTGAGGAAATCTCATAAACACTGTCAGAAAAAAATAAGATTTTTTTTATTTTTAGGACCATATACTTATATAACTGCTATTAGTTCAGTTTGGGAATTCAATTCATAGTATGTAAGTATTTATTCATCATGTTTATTTTACACGCTTTTAATTTATCCAGATTCAAAAATATTATACAGTAAAAAACAACTATTACAGTAGTATAAATTCAATGAGAATCATAAATAAAGGAAAAGTAAAATAGAAAAGTGCTTGTCATGAAAACATATCAATGTAAATATAAATAAATCAAAATCAAAATCAAATCAATTATTAAGTAAATAAAAAACCTATAATATATATTATTCTACAGTATATAAAATATAGGCTATAATATATAGAATATTATAAATATTATATATATTTCTGAATAGTATTGCAAGTATGGATTGATAATCTGTATTGAACTGCTTTTAATTTATGCTGCTTTGAATATAAAACTGCAAAAATAAATATAATCCAAACAAATATAACGAGAATCATTAAGACTAATAGGAATTAAAAAAAGAAAAGTAAAATGGAAAAGTGCTTATGAAAATAAATTCACCATGCAAAAAATAAATAAATCTTGGCTATATAAAAAAGTCTATTTCTTAATGCAAAAAAAATAAAATAATAATTTCTTCATAGTTTACTTCATGTTAATATGTCTAAAGTGAAAGTGGTGCTGTCACCAATCTAAAGAAATAACACAATGGCATGAAATGTGCAATATGGAACAATTAACTAATGACAGAAACAGTTTTGCATCCTCTGATTTTGACCATAGCACACTGAGTGCACAAGGTGGCAGTCTCAGCACACAGCAGAAAGCCAGAGAAGCAGAGAGGTGCAGCCAGTCATGAGAACCATCCTAAATAGTGCTGATGAAGGTTTTAATCAGTCCCTGTTCCCCCCCTTTTGGGTTTCGGCTCATTGCAAAGTTATGATTGAATGTTAATAACCTGCACACCCCAAACGACATCAAGGGGCTGCTGGTGTGTTCACAGGATGATTTTGCAGTTTGGTCGCTCCGCCTGCATGGGCCATTTAAGACTCGACGTCTGAGGCAGAAATAAAGGACATTACACTATGACCTTATGAGTGTAAGTTATATAGATCCAGATGTAATTCATTAATGAATGTTATGCATGCTGCCAAACGCTTACAAGCAGGTTTCAGAGCGAGCGTAAGGTGTCTTTGTAGGTCTCACACCTCAGCGACGCAGTGATTGGATGACTGAACGCAATCTTAGCCATAAAACAGAATGACTGCACGTCCGTTTATGTCCTTGTTTCCCTCGGTGAGGAACAGACACTATAGAATCCTTTTAATTAAATCATAATACATTTTGTGTCTTGGCTCATTGCTAAATTACAAAAACGAACTTACGTTGCATCTTATGTTGAGCTAGATAAAAGTAATTTAGGATTAGAATCCACTTATATGGTTTAAAAAGAGCTATAAAAACTGGACTTTCAAAGAGTTTCCACTAGCCATGTTTATCTCCAAACACGAGTTGCTATGTTTTAAAAGAACAAACGCCAGGCATTTGCTATCCCTAAAGCCACCTGGAGCCTGCCATATACATAACAGTGTAACTGATACAAGTGCAGACTGACTCTGAACAAGTTTAGGGAGTTTATTTGTGCAAAAATACACAGTTTTAACTCTCCGACTAACAGCTAGCTCTAGGGCTAACAACTAGCCGCAGTAATCACAAGCAATAGTACGTTTGACTCTGATGCATTATATCAACTAACAATTTGTTTCGATGGAAAAATATGCAAATGCATTGAAGAAAAATCACCAAGAAGATCTCTTCATTGCCTCAATTGTTTCTCGTAGACAGCAATGAAATTACATTTAGAGCAAATGAGACCTGTCTCCGGCTTCTCACCTGAGAAAAAGAGCCTTGTAATCTCC